AACAAAATACCTTACAAAGACAACTTGAGGAAATAAGAGTTTATTTTGGCTCACAGTCCATCATGATGGGGAAGTACATCAGGGCAGTAGCCTTCAGACACATTACTGCACTGCAGCCACAGTCAAAATGCAGAGAACAATGAATGCTACTGCTTAGCTCGCCTTCTACTTTTATTTAGTCCAGGACTCCATGAGATGGCCATCCAAAGTTAAGGTGGGTATTCCTCCAAGAACTAACCTAAAGCAACTAATTTAACCCTTCACAAGCATGCTTAGTGGCTTGTCTCTAGATAATTCTAAACTCTGTCAAAATAGACAATGAAGTCATCAAATCAACTAGTTATTCATGTAATAATAGATGTTTTCCCTTTAATTGTATCTTTTATACTCTGAACTAACCAAGTGGTATGTCCTCTATACTTTTGTCCATTGACCCTAAATACAATTCTTTTGTCCTTCCACAGCACACCAGGCCCTACTAGGACATTTCTTCTGCTATGCTGCTTAATTAATATATTCATTTATGAACATGTCCAATGTCCCTTTCTAATGATAAAGCTGACAAACAATTCTTTATCTTGTATAATACAGTGCAAAATGTACAAAGGTACTCAGTGTTCTTTAGGGGATAAACATTGTGGTAGTTTGAATGTAATTGGCCCATATAATCTCATAGGGAGTGGCACTTAGGAGGTGTGGCTTTGTTGGAGTGGGTATGGCCTTGTTGGAGGAAGTATGTGGCTATGGGGTGGGCTTTGAGATTTTCTATGCTCAAGATACTGCCCAGTGTTTCAGCCGAATTCCTGTTGCCTCCACGATATAGGACTCTAAGCTCCTTCTCCAGCACCATGTCTGCCTGCATACCACCAGGTTCCCCACCATGATGACAATGGACTGAACCACTGAAACTGCACACAAGCTCCCTCAATTAAAAGTTTTCCTTATAAGACTTCCCATAGTCATGGTGTCTCTTCACAGCTATGGAAACCCTAACTAAGACAAACATCATTACAATAGAAAGTACACAGGCTTTGGAGTCTTAATCTTTTCTACATCCAGTAAATAGTTAATGTTCACCTAATTTGTTTAGGAACTGACCAAATTAAAATCTATTCCCACTGCAAGTACATATTGTAAAACCTGTTTACAGTTTCCTCTCTGAATTGGATATTCTATTTAAATTTCAAAAAAGTAAGGGTCCAATAAACAGCGGTTCCTTTTTGATATATGGAGGTCTTCAATAAATAGTATAAAAAGCTTCTTTTTCTTCTTAAAAGCAACTTCGTTAGGTCTGTAAAAATTATAGTATGTAGAAGATATACACAGGAGAAGAATCTCAAATTTTAAAAGGCAAGTTTTAACCTTATAATTATAAATCCCAATAATATTAAAATTATTTAGAGTCTGAGAAGTCATGCCATTTAAATCAGAAGTTTCATATTACATTGATACCATTATAACTGATAAAATTATTTTTTATATATTTTAAATAATTTATTTAACTTTATTTCACATGCACTGTGTGAAGGTATCAGATCCCCTGGACATGGCGTTACAGACAGTTGTAAGTTGCTGGGAATTGAACCCAGGTCGTCTGGAAAAACAGTGAGTGCTCTTAACTGAGCCATCTCTCCAGCCCCCTATAACTAATAAAAGATAACTCTGTCCTAGCTAAAATTTACTTTTCTCAGTAATATATCAAATACCTTCAGGTACACTTTGTCAGGCAACAACTCAACAAACACATCGAACCCTTACTCTAAAGATACTGTGCAGAGCGCTTATATATACCTGCACACTCTGACAGCAAATACACTGAGGAAGGCATGGTGATAAAGGATTCTCATATGCTGCTGGTAAGAACTGGAATCTAGAACCACCTTCTAGAAACAGAAATTGTCACTGTTATGTAAGTTTTCTAAATCCATATAACCTTTGTGTTAGCTACTTTTCTTAGCACTATGACAAGAAACACTTCAGGGAGAATGGATTTATTCTGACATTGTTTGAGAGGATTTAGTCCATCCTGCAGGTAACATGGCTGTGGGAGCAGCTATTGGATGGGGCAGTGGGAATCTGAGACAGGAAGCAGAAAGTGGCTCAGGAGAGAACTAAGACAAGGTTGTTACCCATAAGACTTAACTTTATGGCCCTATGTTTGCTAGCGAGGCCCAATGTAAAATAGGTTCCACAACCTCCCCAAAGAGAGCTACTAGCCAGGGAAACAAGTGTTAAAATACTTGACCCTGTGGAAGAACTTCATGTTCAAATATAACATTCTGTCCTTGGTCCCCATAAGTTCATGGCCAGCTCATAATGCAAAACATTTTTAGTTCAACTTCCAGTTCCAACACTATTCAAAACACCGAAGATCAATGTCTCTGAAAAATTAAGGCCATCCCCAAATTATGAATTCCTGTAAAATCCAAATAAGCATTCCCAACATATAATGGTACAGAATAAACAATCTAATTCCAAAACAGAAGAATAGAGGCATAAGCACAAGACTAACACACAAGAGGGTAAGAATCAAACCGTGTATCTCTACATCCAGTGTCTTGGGCTAATATTGGCATTATCTGTATCCAATGACTTAGGTAGCTTGTTGCCCCTCCAGTGCTACATGCAATGTCTGGGGCTCATACTGGCATTATCTGCACCCCATGGCTGAGGCAGCTTGCCCCTCTAACTCTGATCCAGCATCTGGGGCTCATGCTGGTATTATCTGTGCCCATGGGTGAGGTAGCTTGCCCCTCCAGCTCTGATGTCTGTAGCATATGTGGCTTCTTTCCTAGGTGATTCCACTTTAATGTCCTCCAGGGCAGAATGAAGATATTCAAAAGAGACTTTATGCCTTGTCCCTCCCTTTGGCTATTAAAATATTAAAATAACAATCCACAAGGAATTGGTATTTTCCAAGGAATCTCATGGTAGGGGAAAGAAAGAGGTGAAGCCTTGTTGTCTAGAAAAAACTTGTTATCCAGATTTCACAGTTGTGACTTGGCACACTACCTTGCAAGAACTATTGAAGCCTGTAGAACGATGGGTCAAAAATGGATAGCACCAAACCTTGAACCAGACTGCTTAATTATACACACCTCTTGCCCTCTACTTAAATCTAAACCTCACATCAGGACCCTGAAGATGGACTTAAGTGGTAAAAGGTCACTGAACTTCTACTAGTTCCTTTTCCTGATATGGCTACAATGAATATACTTTCTTTCTTTGCTTTTTACTATCACTTTACTCTGTAACTAGCCTATTGAAGATGGGTGGCCAAGTCTGGGGTGCCAGTGCTACCAGTGCCCAGGCTTTGACTCTAACAATTCTGGAATCACATTCAGTGCCAATAGCTTTCATAAATAAATGTCTCCCATTCCTTGCATCTACAACATACCTCCACTACCTACAGGCTGTTCAGGACATCCATACAGGGAATCTGACTGCTACGTGTTGATAGCTTAGCAGATTTTCTGGAACCTTCATGCATCTCTCCACAACCCTCTAGCTTTTGCATCTTGCATGCCTGTAAAAGCAGCTCCATGCAGAAAACACTGCCCCTTCTACCAGAAGCTGCAGTGGCATTTGAATGCTTCCCTGGATGAACCTAGGAAAATATGGCCCTGGGGAGTCCTGCTCAAGCAGGATGCCCAGGAAACTCTCTTTGTTCAGGAATCTCCTTTGAAATGAATTTGCATTTTTATAAGTTGAAGCAACAGCAGCTGGGGTCTTGCCCTCAAGGCATCTTTTCTATTTGTCCCAATATGAACTGTCCTTAATTATACTAAGACTTTAACAATATAGACTCTACATTATCTTCTACAACTTTAACCCAATTCATTCTTTTCCTATACATTTTTCACATCTTCCTGCTCTACGTTTTGCTTTGAATTTTCATTGTAAGCCCCACCAAACACATTAAGCAATAATTATATATATATAGCAACCTGAATGCTATGCTGTCTTGAAACTTTCTAAGTCTATTATTTTTGAATTTCTTCGCACAGTTTTCAGGACACAACAGAATGTGGTCAAATTCTTTGCCTGGATCTAAGTAAAGTGGCTTCTCTAGTCCAGTTCCCACAAGAGTCCTGTTTCCCTTATAACCTCATGACTGCACTTCTACCAGCATTCTGAACTTCTGCACCAGCACCGGAATGCTCCATTAGAGAAGTTTTACACACAATAGGGCATCTCTAGCCCACAGCTTCAAACTCTTTTTCATTTCTCCTACAAATGATTCCAAAGGCCTCATAGACCAATTTATAGAAGCCATGACACCTTTCCTAGGGCCAATGTTCTGCACTAGTTACTTTTCTCAACACTGAAATCTAATACATAAGAAGGCACAGCTTAAGGGAAGATCTAACTTGGCTTATAGTTTCAGAGGGTATCACCTATCATGGCAGGAAAGGTATGGCTAAGATCAGCTCATAGTTGTGGCCCCAGAGGTGTAAAACAAGACTTGTGACCATCTCCATGATTCTAAGCCCTACCTCTGCGAGCCAGCTCTACACCCAAAAGGTTCCACAGCCTCTCAAATTAGTACTACCAGCTAGGAACCAAGTGTTCAAAATAGGTCTGTGCAGACATTTCACATTTAAATCATAAAACACTTTTTCTTGATAATTACATATTGCTAGGATTTATTCTATCAAAATAGCTAATGATGTACAGTTTAGAAATCAACATATTTATTTGTTCATTTTAAGTATTAAAACAGCTGGGCGGTGGTGTTGCACACCTTTAGTTCCAGCACTCGGGAGGCAGAGGCTGGTGGATCTCTGTGAGTTTGAGGGCAGCCTGGTCTATGGAGCTAGTTCCAGGACAGCTAGGGCTGTTACCCAGAGAAACTTTGTCTCAAAAAGCAAGCAAGCAAGCAAACAAAACCCCCCCCAAACAATTAAAAATCAACATTCAGTGTGCCTAAGACAGAATCATTTTTTTAAAAAATAAAACATTAGATTGGTATTCTAGAAATTTTTCTTTTTTCTAAACCCCACTGTGTCCCCAGGAAGCTGCACTGCCCTGATAGGCAGAGGTAGCCACAGCACCCTCTGTTTCTGTTTCTCTAGCAGACAGAAAAGGCATGAGACCGAGCTAGAGTCAGGTGCAGAGTGAATCTGCAAGCATTCTAGAATTTTAAAGAGTGGCTTCAGATATAATGCTTAGCTTAGATCTTAAAACATTTTCATTCAGTAATCAAAGTGCTTATTTGACCTCTTGTATGTAAAAGAATAAGATAATTTGTCTAAGACAACAGAGTCATCAGGTCATCATGTGACCTCTGAAACCTGATAACAAACATTCAGTTTTAAGTCCCCAAGTTTCTAAGTTGGAACCAAGGGGAGAGCAGTGGGCAGCATTCTGTTTTAACAAGGTCTCCATGATCCAGACATATAATAAATGTGAAAGCACAAACATGCAACATACATTTTTACAAATGTATTTGTGATCATTAAACACTTCCGGAAAATAAAGAGACAGCAGTGCAATGTCTCCCATGTCAACTGCACTTTCATATTTCAGGGCTCTTCTCAATCAATAAACATTAATTAATATGAAGTGTTAAATAATATGCCTGTCTGGCCCCTGACAAAGTAGTCAACTACTTTCAACTGGATCACTGTCAGAAGTCCTAGAGAACAGAGATTCTTAATCTATTAATGTCACAGGAAATACCAGAAAAGTCACAGGAGGTGATTGCATTTGAGGGTGCTGTGTGCTCGGGAAGGGATTGGTAACAGAAATCACAAACAGCTCACTCTTTACTCACTTAAAGCATTTTTCATCTACTATTCTCCTGATACTGATAACTCTGAAAACAAGTCTGACTGCCTGGTCACATCTGAAGTCAAGACCACCGATATTGGGAGTGCCTGACAGACACAGAAGACACTGTACCATGTGTTCCAGGAGACACAGAGCTCAAGACCTTCAAGCCTCTACCTGGAGTGCTTTAACCTGCTAGATGATGCCAAGAATCCAAAATCAAATTTAAGAGAGGTACCTGTCATAGAAATTAAAAAGAAAAGTGGTGTGACATCAATTTGGAGGGGGTATGCAGAAAAATCTAAGTCTGGAGAAACAGAATTTTAAAAGAATGGTGGAAGGGAGTTGATCAGTTGCTTAGAAAATGAGGCAGCAGGCAGGGAGCAAGCTGTGCAGAGGGAAATCATAGGGCAACCATGTGATTGGGCTGGACTGTTCCCACCAGAGACAAACTATATCACCCTGGACCAACAAGCCCATCTTGAAATCACAGCTACTCATTTGTGAAATGGGAAAATAATAATGATTTGAATTACATCAAAATTATTTACTTGAAAGACAGCTAGGGAAGAAAAGACTCTAACATGAAAAACAACATAGCCCATGTTCACAGCTTAACAACTATTCTCTCTTATATAATCAAACTGTGGAATAGTAAACATTTTAGTATATAATATTTTAAGAACAATTTTGTTTCTATTATTAGCAAATGAAGCATAAATAATTGAAAGGATTCAAAATAACATGAGAAATGCAAACAACTCAAACTGTTTTTAAGTTTTAAAAAATTATATATAAAAGTATTTGTTGTTGGCTAGGAACTTAATTACTTAGCAAAAGTATATTGCCACTGTTTGGGGCACTCTTTTTGGTAAGTAGTTTGGCAGTTTCTTCTAAAACTAAAAAATATGCTTAAAAACATCTTAGCAACTGTACTTTGGGATAGTTATCTCAAGGCAACAAAAACTCATGCATTTTCATGCAAAAATGAGTACAAAGTTCAAGCAACTTTAAAGAAAAAATATAGAAACCACCCAAACGAATTACCATTTATTACTGAATAGTTCAGGATCACTTAGATCTCTTTATGTATACCCAGGCTACCCTTAACAGGTAATCCTCCTGCCTCCACCTCTTTAGTGCTAGGATGATAAATATACACCACCATACCTCACTCCAAAATGAATATTAAAAATTTCTTGCCATTTTTTTTTACAGAAAGATGCTACTGCTTATCTTGCTGCTATTGATGCTTTAAGAGCTCTACAGGAATGCTCTTATCACAATGAGGGCATAGAAAGTTTCAGTAGCTTCAGAAAATTACTTTACAGCACATATGCAGAATACGAAGAGCTATGTGCTTTTCTATGTTTTCATCTCAACATCTAACTTCTGGGATTATCTAAAGAAACAATTTGAACTAAGGGAAAAAATACACACACTCTCATATACACATACACAGTAGTAGTAATACAATGTTATTACACAGTAGTGCTACTGTGTAATTATACATGCATACACATTACTACAGTGAAGATGATAACAAGGTAAAATTTAACAACCTACATATTTACGTAGTAGCGATTTTATACATCAAGTCATGATGTATAAGCCACCTGTATGGTGGCTCATATTTGTGATCCCAGCATTCAAGAGAGGAGACAGGAGAGTCAGGAATTTGAGGGCAGCCTAGGCTAAAAAATTTTAAGACATTGTCTAAAAAACCAAAAGGGGGAAAATATCTAGTCATGGGACAGATATGGTGATAATAGTACTAACAGTATAAGAAATATTCTATAACAAGGGAATACAACAAAATTCAATTTCAGTCCCAAATTATCTACCTAAAACAAGCATTTGAAAAACCATTAAAATAAAATTTCATTGGTAGTTTCATTTTACAGCCAAAGAAATAAAATACTTTTACCTTATCCCAGAAATCGATCAAAGCTGTAAAGTCCCATTTCTTAGAATATGCCACATTGTATTTCAGAATAGCATCCTATGAAAAAATAGAAACAAAAATCCCATTACACAGTCATGTAAGTTATCTTTCATAAATTGCTTCCAGTAAATTTCTTAATGCTAAGCAAGCTTCCTTCTGATAGCTATTCCATGTTAGTAGCTATGGACAAACAGAATGCACATTAATTTATTATTCACATAAGAAAAATGAGATTACATATGTTAAGCAATGGAAGGGAAACATAATTACCCTAAAGCATGCATTCTAAATGGGGACAGTGTACTCCTATTGGACAAAAATCAGACAGACCTTAAGGGATTAAAAAAATAGATTACAATTGCTTGTGGTTGACATCACATGTCGTGTGTTTACGTATTATGGGTTATCTGCTTCTTTGTGCACACACATATATGTATATAAGACACACAGTAACATCACACACAGTTATATATACTTTACATATTCCCATACAGAGATTATAGTTACATGCAGCACTAAAATATCATGGGGAGGATATAAGCAAGAAAATGTTTCAAAGGAAGAAAGATTGAATAACAGTGTTTTAAAGTACAAGATGGTATTTTTCCCCTCACTTTGGGCTACTGTGTGTGTGTGTGTATAAACAGTCATGTGTATTCATTATGTTCCTGTACATGAGTGTATAAGTATGTGCACGTATGTGTAGAGGCCAGGGGTCCATGTTCAGTATCTTTATCAGATGTTCTTCACTTTATTTTTTGAGACAGGGTCTCTTGCTAACCCAGAACTAACTGACTAGACTAGCTGGCCAGAAAGCTCTGGAGATCTGCCTTCCTCTATCTCCCTAAGCACTGGAGTTATAGACAACACACTCAGCTTTTTAAAATGGATCCTGGGGATCCAAATTCAGGTCTTCATGCTTGCACAGCAAGTATTTTACTGACTGAGCCATCTCTCTAGCCCCTATGACCCACCGTTTCTATAAACTACAACTTTGTTTCTATAACTTTGTTAATACAGAAATTTTATATATACTTTTCTCAAACCCTCTTACAGGGTTGAATTATTTTACAGCCAAAAAAGTAAGCATACTTTTACCTTAACCAAGAGACCAACCATAGCTGTAAAGAACTTTGTATGGTGGTACAAAGCCTAGCAGTTCACACCAGTATATATTTATATGGCATGGCAAGTCAAACTATGCCATCTACTGGTTTAAATTTTCATCATCTGAGTAAATAATACTATATAGTGGGTTTCCACGGGTAAGATACGCATAAAGCAATCCAGAAGAAAGCAGTACAGAAGAAACTATTATTTATGATTAGATCTTATCCCATTCTTTTAAATATCTACTTCAATCATATTTCATATCATTAATAAATTAGTAAGTAGAATTTATAAATAATTACATAGATAATTCAATATTTTTTTCTGAAGGAATATACAAGTCTAAAAACCACTGTGTTAAATTATTACTATAAAGATTCCAAATTGTTTTATCCCTAAAAGCATTTATATAAAGCTTCCAGGAAAACCCGGGCGTTGGTGGCGCATGCCTTTAATCCCAGCACTCGGGAGGCAGAGGCAGGCAGATCTGTGTGAGTTTGAGGCCAGCCTGGTCTCCAGAGTGAGTGCCAGGATAGGCTCCAAAGCTACACAGAGAAACCTTGTCTCAAAAAACCAAAAATAAATAAATAAATAAATAAATAAATAAATAAATAAATAAGCTTCCTGGAAAATACACAGTGTTACACAATGAACAAGTACCTACATTAAGGCCTGAACCTACAAAAATATACCATATTTACTTGGAACCAAGGGATATTCAAGTTCCTTCAGAAAACAAAAACATTAACCATAGAATAAAAAGTAAAAGCTTTTATTTTTCTCTCATAAGCTATAAAATAACATTTAAGTGTTAAAAAATGTTTAAAGAATTATTTCTAGTCTTTGGTATTTGGTTTCAAAATATTGCATGATATGGTAAATAGCAATGTCTATAAATAAATAAATGAAGTATGAATATACTTAATCACATGAGTGAATCTCAAAATTCTTTGTTTAAATCAAGTACTACAGCACACAAGTCTCCTCTCATAAATTATAAACCAATCTATGGTGGAAAAAAGAGCAAACTGTTTATTTGAGGTCGGAAAAGAAAGCAAAAGGAATTATAAAGGGGCAAGGGAGAAGCTTTGGTGATGACAGAAATGATAAGTAGCTTGATTGGTGGAAACTTCAACAATATATACAAATGTCAAAATTCATCAAATTATGACCCCTTAAGGTTAATAAAAAAAAACTTTTAAAACTGCAGTTATTTTCTAATTTCTTCCATTAAATTTTATAATTAGATTAACCACAATAAACTTATTGCATGATATCTGTGGAAGACTGGTTCAAGCCT